GCTGAAACAGGCCAGGAGCCCGGCTGGCATGGGGGGTGGTGGTCTAATTACAGCAGGGGTGGGCTGGGAGCCGGGACTCCTGGGTTCCGTTCTCAGCTCTGCTGCTGACGTGTGCCATGAACAAGTCCCTTCCTGGCTCTGTGCCTCGGGCTAATTACAGCAGGGGTGGGCTGGGAGCCGGGACTCCTGGGTTCCGTTCTCAGCTCTGCTGCTGACGTGTGCCATGAACAAGTCCCTTCCTGGCTCTGTGCCTCAGTTTCCCTGTGATGACGCCGTGAGGTTCGCTCCTTCGAGGGGGCAGCTTGCGATTCACAGGAGCCTGGTTCCCAAGGGGCTGAGTGCCCTATGGCCCCGGCTGACCTCCACTCTTGAAGCAGACCCTGGGCACGCTGGCAGATGCGGCCCCTGGTGCCAGGCAGAAGGAGCAGAGCGTGGCGGAGCGTTCTCCCAGCCAGCCTGCTCGGTTCCGTTTGCAATCGGGGCAACGCATGCTGTGCTGCTCTGCCGCCGGGCAGGTGGGCAAAGGTGAGCCGGCAGCCGGGCGGGGCGGCACAAGGAGCCTGGGCTTGTGCTTCCTGGAGCACTGGCTGGGCGGGACAGCTCTGCCTGTGCCCATCCCACTTGTCCCTGGCACTGCCGGGACTGGGCTGTGCCACCCTGGAGAGTGTGCTTCGCCGGGCTGCGGCATGGGGAGGGAGCCAGCCCCTCACAGCTGCGGGCCCTGGGGCACAGAGACTTGCCCAGGCTGCTCCCCATGGAGCCCAACCAGACCTGCTTGCCTGTTTGCTGCAAGGACACAGCTCCAAGCGGCCCTCTGCCCTCCTCCCCACTCAAGCCCCACAGCCTGTGTCCAGAAGGGCCTGAGCCCGTGTCCCCACGCTCCCCACTGATGCCACGCAGCCCAGGGGCCTGGCCCAGGCTCAGCTCCCAGACCCCCCTTCCCTTGGCTCTTTCAGACGGGGATGCTGGCGACACAGAGCTGACACGGAAAATCCCACTGAGCAGACCCCCCCTAGGGCCAGCCCTCCAGAGCCAGGCGCAGACCCACAAGGAGGCTGCAGGGGGCGGGACACAGGCCCCCCCGGGAACTCGAGCCCAGGTGCGCTGGGGAAGGTAGCGGGCGGGGGAGCGAGCGCCCTTCCCTTGGCTCTTTCAGACGGGGATGCTGGCGACACAGAGCTGACACGGAAAATCCCACTGAGCAGACCCCCCCTAGGGCCAGCCCTCCAGAGCCAGGCGCAGACCCACAAGGAGGCTGCAGGGGGCGGGACACAGGCCCCCCCGGGAACTCGAGCCCAGGTGCGCTGGGGAAGGTAGCGGGCGGGGGAGCGAGCGTGGGTGTGCAAGAGCAACTGTGGGTGCAGGGCTGGGATGGCGTGGAAGGGTGGAGGGTACCCAGGGGGACTGGAGAGGGGGCAGGCATGTGGGGGGAGGAGGGAGGATGCTGTCACACCCTACAAGGCAGGATGGGGGGGCACGTGAGCTGGGCAGTTGCCCCTTGCTGTCCCCTGGGCTGCTTTCCCGGAATGGCTGCAGTGTGCCTGGGGCGGGGCAGGAAATCCCAAGAGGCAACGCCCCAGCTGGGGCAACCCCCCAGCTCACGTAGGGCAGGAGCAGTGAACTCGGCAGGTGCCTAAAAGCTCTGTCTCCTCCCCCACACGGGCTGGGCTGGGGACACACTGCAGGGCCAGGAGCCAGGGCCCAAGTTCCCAAGGTTGCCCGTGCCAGCTGCATGCCAGTACCCAGCTCCCTACCAGCTCTACCCTGATGCCCCAATGCACCTCCAGTCCTCTGGTACCCAGCCCCCCCACACACCCACACAGTGTCTTCTGCTCTGTCCTTTCCCCTTATCTCAGGGCCATGTGGGCCAGACACAATAGCTCCCCAGCCACCCTGTGCTCAGCAGCTCTGCCCTCTGCACTGGGACACTCCCCCCGGGCTATGTCTACATTGGCGGGTTCTGGCACAAGAGCATCTTGCACAAGAGTTCCTGCACAAGAACTCTTGCACGAGAACACGTCCACGTGCTTTTGCACAAGAGCACCCATGGCAGTGTGGACGCTCTCTTGCGCAAGAAACCCCTGCCGCGCCTCCACACGGCCTTCTTGCGCACGAGGAGGTACGCCTGTTAAAGCCCTCTCTCCCCACGTTTACTGTACATCTTCTTGCTCAAGAGCAGGCAGGCAGTGTGGATGCTCTGTGGAAGAACGGCTGTTCTTGCGCAAGAACCCGCCAGTGTAGACAGCCCAGATTCTGCACCTGTTGCTCACCCTGCACAGAGAGCCCCTGCACACAGCCCTGATGCCTCTGGAGAGGGCCAGTAACATGGGGGAAAGGGGGGGGAATCACTACCTGCCCCCGATGGACTAAACAGGGCAGCTACCCCCAGCCCAGCCAAATAGCAAAGGGCCTGTTAGCACCCCAGGCCCTTGTTCCCTCCCTTTGCCCAGATTCTGCACCTGTTGCTCACCCTGCACAGAGAGCCCCTGCACACAGCCCTGATGCCTCTGGAGAGGGCCAGTAACATGGGGGAAAGGGGGGGGAATCACTACCTGCCCCCGATGGACTAAACAGGGCAGCTACCCCCAGCCCAGCCAAATAGCAAAGGGCCTGTTAGCACCCCAGGCCCTTGTTCCCTCCCTTTGGAGATTATTCCAGGCTGGACCGCGGATACTCTCCACAAGACTTCCCCCTTTGTGCTAGCCAGCCCCAGGCAGAGGAGAGGGCCCTTTCCACCTAGGGTGCAAGGAGGAAGGGAAGGGAGAGCTAAGCAGCATGGGTAACTGTATGCAAATCAGGCAGCCAAGCCCCGCCCACCCAGCCAGAGCTGGCCCTGATACCCCATGAGGCCAGTGGCTAGAGGGCTGGGCTCTGCAGGGGGAATGGAGCCAGGACTGATTTCTCCGCCCGTGGCCCTGTCTCTCCTAGACACCTCCAGAGGAGCCACCGGTCCGCACCCCCTCCCCAGGGCTCTTCGAGGGGAGCGCGGAGGAGGAGGAGGAGTTCATGCAGTTCAAGGTACCGGGGAGAGGATGCCGGTTCTGACCTGAGCTGGACACACACTCGCTCGCCGCCCTGCGCTCACCCCGCCCTGCCCTGCCCCAGGAACGGGCCATTCCAGCCAGCCGGCCCCGGCTGTGGCCCTGAGGCCCCTTCCGGGCAACTGGTGCCACTGCCCACCGGAGAGCCCCGGGGCCTCCAGAACCGGGATCCCCCCACAGCTGCTGGACGGGAGCAGTGGGGGGATTCTGTGCCCCCCCACACACACACCCCGGCCAGGCGCCTCTGCCAGCTGCCCTGCCTGGCGTCGAGGCGACAGGGGTGGGGGGACTGTGGCAATGGTGCCGATGCTCCAGCTCTCTGCTTTCTCACAGGCAACGACCAAGGGGCCCACTCCCACGGCGCCCACCCCCCGGGCAGCTGCCACCCTGCCCCAGGTGAGTGAGGGGAAGGGGCAGTTCCTGTCCAGCTGGCCCCAGCCACGCTCACAAGGGGAGGGGCCGACAGGGGGCTCCGGGAATGTCCGTATCAACCCGCCCCTTAAACTGCTCCGAAGCTGCCCGTGCCCGTAGCCCCCCCAGGATGGATCCCCTGGGTAACAGGCCTCCTGGGAAGAGGGGAGCCAAGAACAATGGTGCCTGGAAGTTTCCATCCAGCCCCCCCACTCCCAGCTCTCCCTTGCTCTGCCCCCTCCCTGAGTCCATGACCCCTGAAGCCTGGTGGGGCTGGGGCTGGCACCACGCCCGGGCAGCCCCAGGCACTCAAGGCTCTTTCTGTCTCCTAGGCGACGGGTAACCTCTCGCAGTGCGTCTGCCCGGCCGTCCCCGGCCTCCCTGGCCCGAAGGTAGGAAGGAGGGTGGCTATGGGACTCCGTTCTGGGGCGCAGCGATGGGGCCCCTAGTGCGGTTGGGGTCCCCAGAGCCTCCAGAACTTGGCTTTGGAGGCTCCCCTGGGCTGTTTCCTCTCCCCATATTCAGGCTCTGGTTTTTCCAGGGGGCTTTTGCTTACAGCCCCCCGCAGCACGTGCCATGGCTGGGAATGGCACAACACCCTCCCAGCACGAGCCCCCGGGGCCAGGCCGGCGTGAGCAGGGGGAGCAGCCACAGCCCGGGTGCTAGAGGGGGAGACACCCACGTCTGCCCGGCTCTCTGGGGCCAGAAGAGCTGGGACCCCTCGAGCACTGGCCTGAATCTAGAGCTGCTGGGTTCCCCCTCCCTAGACCCCCAGTGGCACAGGGGGTGGGGGCGAGGGAGGCAGCAAACCGACCAGTCCCCCGCCCCTGCCCCGGAGCTCAGCCCATCCCATGGCAAAGGCCTGGAGACACTGGCACAGGTGGTGGGGACCCTGGGGCGGGCCTGGGCTCAGGAGCCAAGGGGCCCATGAGCCATGGGGTATCTTCACCTCAACAGGGAGAAAAAGGAGAGCGGGGGCCCCCGGGGGAAAGAGGCCAGCCGGGCTTCTCTGGGGAGCGAGGCCAGCCGGGGAGCCCAGGGCAGCCCGGCCTCCAGGGACCACCCGGTCTCCCCGGGCCTTCAGGTACCCCTGGACTGGCAGCTGGTGCCGAAGGGCCAGCTGGGTCTGAAAACGAGGTGAGCAGGGTTGGGGAGGTTCAGTCTAGTGGGGGGAGGGGGCTCAGGAGATGCTGGGGCTTGGGGAGCTAGAGGGAGAGCAGAGACCACGGAGGGGGGAGAGCTGGGGGTGGTCGACTGGGTCAGGACCAAGTTATCCTTAATCGGCCTGCAAACACCCAGCGGGGGCTGCAGTGGGATGGGGGGGTAGGGCAGGGGCAGCGGGGGCAGGGCAGTGGGGGCAGAGCAGGGGAAGGAAGGGGGGCTGCAAGGGGAGCAGCGGGGGTGCAATAGGGGAGGGGGAGGCTGGCACCACAGACGCATCTCTGCTCTAGCTCTTCTCTCTCCCACCAGCTGACAAAGCAGCTGCTCATGCCCGGAGTGGCAGGGCCGCCCGGACCCCAGGGTCTGCCCGGCTACCCAGGGCCTCCAGGCCCCCAAGGCTACCCAGGGCACGAAGGCATCCAAGGACCTCCTGGACCACCAGGCCATGAAGGGCAGCAAGGACCTCCCGGCGTGCCAGGGCCACCTGGGGCCCCGGGGCCGCTGGGCTTCCAAGGCCCCCAAGGGCCTGATGGCCCCACTGGGCCTCCAGGACTCCCAGGGCCTCCAGGACGTGAAGGGCCCCCAGGAGTCCCAGGACTTGTTGCACCACCAGGAAACCCAGGGCCTCCCGGGGAGCCGGGATACCCCGGGCAAAAGGTAATGAGCGGATTGGGCCAAGTGGGGGGCACAAGGCCTCGGGCCAGGCCAGCACTGGAGGGGCTGGCCAGGTGGCAGATGCCATGCGGGTGCAGGCTGTGGTGGGACCCACCCGAGGCCAGCGTGACAACGCATTGTCCCTGGGGACTCCGGGATTCTGCATGACCTTGAGCAGGCCGTTCCCTGCCTCAGTTTCCCCAGTTCTGCCACCCCACTCCTCAGCAGTGTGTGCAGAGCTCTAGGGCCTGCAGCTGGGCAGGGCCATGTGCTCTTGGCTCTTTTACCCCCTGTGCTGTGTCCCTGCAGGGCGAGACAGGTGATCTTGGCCAGCCAGGCCCTCCAGGCAGCCCCGGTTTGATGGGGGAGAAGGGCTCCCGAGGCCCGCCCGGGCCCATGGGGCCAGCAGGACCAAGCGTGGAGTCCAGGGTGAGTGAACTCTCATGAGTGCTCTTAGAGACACCATTGCATGGTGTCAGGCTATGGGAGATGCTGGGCCCTGGGGGGCCTGAGCAGGGCTGGGGAGGGTCACACGCTAGCAGCTGTGGCCATGAGCAGGGGACCTGGGGCGGGAATCTTTCACGGGTGCTTTGTGCTGATCGGGAAAATGACATGATGTGTGGGGTGGGTCCATACACGCTGGCTGGGGGGCGGGAGGAAGCACCCAGACAGCCCCTCACAACTGTGTTCTTCTCACCGCAGTGTGACCCACACGCTACCGGGCACCCCAGATGGGCTGGCCCACCGGGTCCCAAGGTGAGTATGAATTAGAGCTAGCAGAAAAGGGAGAGCCCCCCCTACTGAGCCCTCACCCTGGTCCCTGCAGCACAGCGCCCCCTAGGGCTGCTCTGAGGTACTGGGATCAGTGCTGCCCACCAGGGGAGAGCGCCCCCTACTGATCCCTCCCCCCGGTCCCTGCAGCACAGCGCCCCCTAGGGCTGCTCTGAGGTACTGGGATCAGTGCTGCCCACCAGGGGAGAGCGCCCCCTACTGATCCCTCCCCCCGGTCCCTGCAGCACAGCGCCCCCTAGGGCTGCTCTGAGGTACTGGGATCAGTGCTGCCCACCAGGGGAGAGCGCCCCCTACTGATCCCTCCCCCCGGTCCCTGCAGCACAGCGCCCCCTAGGGCTGCTCTGAGGTACTGGGATCAGTGCTGCCCACCAGGGGAGAGCGCCCCCTACTGAGTCCCTACCCTGGTCCCTGCAGCACAGTGCCCCTAGTGCTGCCCTGAGGTATTGGGGTCAGTAGTGCCCACTGAGGAGAGCGCCCCCTACTGAGCCCATGCTTTGGTCCCTGCAGCACAGTGCCCCCTATCTCCATACTGGGGCCCCAAGCTCCTCTCCCTGTTGCCAAGGGAATCCGTGGGCAGGTAACCGCCCAGAGCCCCTCTCCTGTGACTGGCCCAGCAGTACAAGCCCCCTGCTCCAGGGACAAACCCTTGTGCTGCTTTCCTTCCTCCTTTCACCCTCCACCGCAGCTGCCTCATGCTGCGCCCAAGAGAAGTGCCCGGGCTGTCTGATACCCTCTGGTCTGGTGCTGGGGTCAGGTCTCCTGGCTCCACCCCCAGCCTACTGTGTGACCCTGGGCAAGCCACTGCAGTGCTCTGTGCCTCAGTTTCCCTGTGCGATGAGAGGGTGGCTCCTAGAGCACAGGGGCTGAGCAATTGGGGACCATTCCCCTCCCCTCCAAGAACCAGGGCTCTGATAGAACTGTCTCCTTTTCTCACAGGGTGAAAAGGGAGACCCCGGAGAATGCCGCAGCCATCCTGGGGAGGCCGGGTTCCCTCCCATCCACCCCTCCTTCCCTGGCTCAAGGGGCCCGCCCGGCTCCTGGGTACCGCTGACGTACCAGGAGGTTAGTTCTGTGGATGGCTGTCAGGGCCGCGAGGCAAAGGGCACGGGGGTGGGGAAGGAGCCCTCACCCACCTCTGCCACACCCCAGCTGGATCCCAGGCTCCTGGGTCTGACCCAGTACCCCTGCCGGGGCCATTGCCCCACAACAGCCCAGCCAGTCCCTGCTTGTGAACCCGAGACCCGGGGAGACAGGTGGGCAGCTGAATGTCTGGGCCCCTCCTCGCCCCGTCCAGAGGAAACTGCCCCGTTCTCTCTCTCCCTGTACAGAACGGCAAAGTAGAGACGGAGATTTACGGCGCAATCGTCCCCCACGTGAGTTGCGGCTGAGTCTCGTCTCCACCACCCCGGCTCCCCCTCGTCCCCAGCATGGCCGGGATGTGCCCAGGCCTTTCCTGCATGCCAGGGCTCGGCATGCCGATTCCACCAGGCTACAGCCGCCCTGTTGTTGCAGGAGGCCCTGGGGGTGGGTTCTTGGGGATCCTAGACCAGGCAGGAAGCGGGGCACTGAGCAGAGGTATCTGGCGGGGATGAGGAGGGCTGAAGGAGGAATCCAGAATGAGGTGGGGCTGAAGGAGGGCCAGGGGACAGCAGAGGGAAGGGTGGGGGAGACTCTGCCAAGGCAGGAGGCAGCTTGCGTGAAAACCCAGAGAGGGGGGATGGGCATGCAAGAGATCGTAGCACCTCTCCCCGGGACACGAAGCGCCAGCCCCCTACCAGATCCACTGCCAATTCTGTGCTGATCTTTATTTTCAGGGTCCCCCTGGCCATCCCGGAAATCCAGGCCCCCCCGGCCCCCCAGGACCCCCCGGAACCCCAGGCGTCCTCTACTTCAATGTAAGGATCCCGGCCGCTGGCTGGGCGTGCGTTGGCCCCCGTGCTCGGCTGCGGGGCTCTGTGCAAACCAGCCTGTCTTTCGTTTCAGAGGGTTTATCCCGTCCGCCCCAGGCCGTTCTGCAAACCTCCGGTAAGACATGGGCCTCCTGGGCCCCTGCTAGCTGCCCCGGCTGCCTGCAGAGATGCCCAGCAGCAGGACTGTGAAGGGCCTAAAGACCCCCAAGTCTTTGTGGCTGCCTGGCTCTTGGCTGGGGTCCCCACTGCAAACCAGCCTGTCTTTCGTTTCAGAGGGTTTATCCCGTCCGCCCCAGGCCGTTCTGCAAACCTCCGGTAAGACATGGGCCTCCTGGGCCCCTGCTAGCTGCCCCGGCTGCCTGCAGAGATGCCCAGCAGCAGGACTGTGAAGGGCCTAAAGACCCCCAAGTCTTTGTGGCTGCCTGGCTCTTGGCTGGGGTCCCCACTGCCCAGGACAGACGGCAGCTTCTAGGACACAGTTTGTATCTGCCACTCATCCCACCAGTTGCTCCGCCGGGCGTGCCAATCGCCCTCCGGCCAGAAATCCCCTGCAAGGCAGCCCTCGCGATTGCCCCAGCCGGGGGGGTGGGGGTGAGCTCAGGTAGCTGTGGCCAGAGGACCCAGCCCCTCTGCCGCTCACGCGCCCAGCTGCCCTGTGCCACTGGAGACGTGCCCGTCCCGTCTGCCATGGCCTCGCGCTGACAGCCCCA